TATAACCTGCATTTTATAAATATGCCCAAGATATTTATGAACACTGTAAACTCTACCCTCCACTTTGGATGGATGGCTACTCTTGGATGATGTGATGTCATGCTCTCTCTCTTATGACAGCATCTTGTCAATAGTAGTATTTGTGGGCCCTGCTCCACTTTCTCCTTTTGTCTGCCTATCTCTTAAATAGCAGTGCTCCTCAGACATCTGTTTTAGCCCTTTTTTCTACTCAGCATTGGTCCTGGGCTCAGCTACATGTTGATAAATTCTTAAATCTGCTCCCCAACTCAAACCTCTCCTCAGTGCATCAGATTTCTACCTTCGGCTTCTTCTTCTTTTTTTTTTTTTTTTCTAGATCCACAGCAATGATAAATAAAATATTAAAAGGGAAAACTAAAAAACATCCCAGCTCAAAAATAAACCTCTCCATGGATCAGAAATGCAAAGTGGTGATTGTGTGTGAAGCCACAGGGCCTGGGGTCTGGCTGCAGAAGCAGGCAGTGGCAGCTGGGAATTGGCTATCACAGATCCTGCCGGAGCCAAGAGGAACTAAGCCAAGCTGACTACTTGATGCCAGGGGTTGAGGTAAGGCACACATGCTCATGAAAGGAGGCTGAAGCTGAAAATAGCTGGTGTTTGTTGCTTCCTGGAGAAGCTAGCAAGTGGCAGGGTAGGATTTGAACCCAGCATCCCAGCTCCAGTGCCTGTGCTCTTAATCACAATGCCATACTTAGTGTTCATAGTCTCTGACCCGGAAGTTCCACTTCGCATATAAACCCTGGAGCAATTCCCTAAGATGCAATAGAAAATTGTAAAACAATGTTCACTGTGGTATTATTTGTAAGAGTGAAAAGGGAAAATTAAATGCCTCTCAGCAATATAATGGACAAGGAAACTGTGAAATAGTTATATAAAGGAATGTTACACGCAATCTAAATGATCTCACTATTATATTCTAACACTATAACATACTATATTCTAACACTACATGCAGCAACCTGGATGATCTGAGAAACTTGATGTTGAGGAAACAAGTAGGCTTTAAAATGACCCATACCATATATGACTTAAAACAAGCAAATAATACCATGTGTTGTAAATACACACTCACGCATGAACATATACAGAGAGATAGTAATAGTAAATGCACAAAAAACACACGCATATAGCAATGATAAATACTAAACTCAGAATCATGTTTGCTTCATGGGAAGGAAAGGAGGAAAGGGATGAAAGGCAGTCACATAGGAATTTAATAGTAATGTTTTAATATCATTATTAATTAATATTAATATTTAATATTAATTTTTAAGTTGGTGATGGTACTGGTGTATAATATTATTGATTCTTTTCTGTATGCTTTAATATTTCATAATGAGAAAAAGAATAAATTTATCAAGTCTTATGATTGATTTTCATTTATCCTGACTTCAACAAATATCTTCAACATTGATTGTGCTTATAAGTCTGAAATCCATATTAAAAGCATCCAAATATTATCCTGTATTCCACTACATTTTAGAATCTC